ACAATTCTTACATATGGAGAACAAACAGAGGGTTGCTGGAGGGGTTTGGGAGGGGGGGGATGGGGTAAATGGGTAAAAGACTAAAGAAATCTACTCCTGAAATCATTGTTGCACCATGTGCTAACTAACTTGGATGTAAATTATAAAAAAAAATGAATTATAGAAAGAAAAAAGAGAGAGATGAAGATACCATGTGGGCAGATGTTGTCTTCTTATTTCTTTAAAGCTGCTAAGAACATGTAATTTTAGATAAACACCCAAATAGTCTGCTAACACACCTCCTCTCTGGAGTAAGCTGCCTCCCGACCAAGTCCTGATAGACCCCCAGCCAATGCCAGAAGTGCCGGAGAAGGAACTTCCTCACTAAGAGACGCCAGGACAGAGGGCAGACCTGCATCCTTCTCTGTGGGCCAGCCAGCTGAGCTAAATGAGGGAGGAGGGGCTCGAGCTGCAAGCGCTCTTGTTTCTTGTTCTAAACTCATCCGTCAGGTATTTCCCTCCTCCTCCCCTAGAAAGGAGAAAGTGAGGGCTTGGGAGGAGAGCAGGCAATGTGACCCTAATTGATGACCCTGTACATAGAAACACACACTCAGGAAAACAGCTTCTCTCTATTCCCTCCTCCAACCCCACTCCCGCCCCCCAACCGACATCTAGCACCACTCACTGGAGAACCCTTCGCTGCCGTCCTGTTTTGTGATGCCATCTTTGTCATCATTCCGTGTGTCTGTGGGCTACTTCCGGCCTGTCCTGTTTCACTAAACTAACAGTAGAAACAAATTGATAACATTATTGTTCTTTTCTGTTGTCTTTTACTTTCTGGGAAAGCTGACCCCTCCTCACCACACTTCCTCTTCTTTTTATTTTTTTCCTCAAAACGTATTAGTTATAGCGTCTGTTGTCCTCTAGATGCACTTTAGAATGATTTTGTCATATTCCAAAAATAACCCTATTGGGATTTTGAGTGGAGTTATAACCAGAAAATTAATTTGGTAGGAATTGACGTCTTTATATTATTCAGTCCTGCCATCCAAGAACATGGCATGGTTCTATTTATTGAAGCCTTCTTTTATATCTTGTAGTAAAATCTTGTCATTTATTCATATAAATCTTTCATATTTCTTGTTAAGTTATTTCTGGATATTTCATCTCTTTTGTTGCTATTGGGAATGCAGTATTTTTCCCATCATGTTCCCTCACTGGTTATGGTTAGTATATAGAAAATCTAGTAATTTTCAGATACTTATCTTTATATGTGTGTGCATATCTTTCATATATCAAGTCATTCTTTTCACTCTTTTATTAATAATGTCAATATTCCCCTGGACCATACTCCCCAAATCCTCTCAGATCTCCTTCTTGCAAGGAGATCTCTCCTTGTTCTCTCTTCAGCCCTCACCATCCTTGACATCTTTGCTGACCAGTCTCTTCCTATCTAAAAAGCTATTATTGGTGGTGGGGGTGGAGGTGGGGGGCCTGGGTGGCTCAGTTGGTTGAACACCTGGTTCTTTGCTGCAGTTCAGGTCATCATCTCAGGTCACGATCTCATGGCTGGTGGGTTCGAGCCCTGCATCAGGCTCTGTGCTGGCAGCATGGAGCCTGTTTGAGATTCTCTATCTCTGCCCCTCCCCTCCCCTCCCCCACCCCGTCTTTCTCTCTCAAAAATAAGTAAATAAATAAGCATTTTTTAAATAAAAATAAAAAGTTATTATTGGGGCTTCTGGGTGGTTCTGTCGGTTAAGCGTCCGACTCTTGATGTCAGCTCAGGTCATGATCTCACAGTTTGTGGAATTGAGCCCTGAGTCAGGCTCTGTGCTGACAGCATGGATCTTGTTTGGGATTCTCTCTCTCTCTCTCTCTGCCCCTCCCCTACTGCACCTGTGAGCTTGCATTCTCTTGCCCTCTCTCTAAATAAACAGTTTTTTAATAAAACAAAAAATAAAAAGCTATTATTTATTTAGTGCCTCTTGTGAGTCAGGAATTGTGCTAAGTGTTTTATTTAGATTATTGTGTTCAGTCCTCATGATAGCCTTATAGGTAGGTCTTTTTCTACTCATCTTACAGATGGGGAAACTGAGACTTAGAAAGATAAGCAAAATTCCCCACACAAGGTAAGTAAGGGGCAGTATTGGGCATTCACATGTTCAAAACCTTTTCAATCCTCGGTTGTCCTTTATGACATTTTGTTAGCCTTGTTCTTTCTTCTCATCCTGTATCTCTGTTGTTTGTTTTTACATTTGGGGAAATTTTCAGTCATGATTCTTTCAAATATTTTTTCTGAAGTTTCCTCTTTCCATCCTCTTTCTAGGACTCTGATGACACAAACGTTAGACCTTTTGGTATTCTCCCACGGAAGAAAAGGACTCTGCTCTTTCTACCCCCCTCCAAATGTTTTTTCTCTGTTGTTCAGATTGGATAATTTCTACTGATTTGTCTTCAAATGTACTGACTCTTTCTTCTGTTATCTGAGGCCTGCTATTCAGTCCATCTGGAGAGCTTTCTATTTTGGTTATTGTCTTTTTCAGTTCTAAAATTTCCATTGGTTCTTTTTATATCTTCTATTTCTTTGCTGAGTCTTTCTATCTTTCCATTCATTTCAGACTGCTTGCCTTTACTTCTTGGAGCATCTCTATACTCCCTATTTTAAAGTTATAATTCCAAAATCTGTGTCATCTCAGCAGTATTATCTGTTACTTATCTTTTCTTCTGTGAGTTGACATTTTCTTGGTTCTTTGTATGATTAACAATTTTAGACTGTACTTTTGACATTCTACATGCATGCAATGAGACTTGGGGGTCATGCTTACATCCTAAGGGAAATTTTGATATTTTAGTTTTAGCAGGCAATTAACCTGGTTGGGTTCAGGCCAGAAGTTCCAACCAGTTTCTGTGGGTCATAGTTCTAACAAGAGTTCAGTTGCCAGTGTCTTTGCAGGGCTACTCAGATCTGTGCCCTGTGAGTGCCGTCCAGTGACCAGTGAGGGACCAGCATGGTGTCAGTCCACAGATCAGTTCTCATAGTCCGATAATCTGTTTAGGATCACACATATGCAGGCCAAAGGTCAGCCCAGGGGTTCATAAACAACTTGATGGGGTGGATTTCCTGAGCTTTTCTGTCTTGATGATCTTCTTAATACTTTCTAATTCCCGTAAGCTTCCCTTTTCAGTCTGGGTGTTTAGTTCCCGCTCCACTGTGTACTTCCCAAAACACCGTGCATGCGTTCTCAAACATGAAACGTGCACTCAATATGATAAGGCCAATTTTCGTGCCATGTCTCCTCCCTACCCCCAGACCAGTAATAGTCAGCAGGGGGATGCCTTGAGCTGATGAGCTTGCATCAGTTAGGCCACTCCTCAGGGGCTGAGGATGGGCTGGATATCTGACAAAAACAAAGTGCTATGAAGAACAGGGAAATGGCTGTTGAGTAGACAATGAGTGGTGTCCATACACTGCTTCTTTCCTCCTTTTCTTCCTTAAACCACTAAATGTCACCAACACCCTCCTAATCACTCAGGCTTTTAAAACTTTCGTGTTTTCTTCACTCCTGTGCCTCTCCTCCTCACCCACACCTCTGTGAACATCCAGTCAGGTGCTCAGCCTAAAGATGCTTCTTCACCAAAGCTTCACCAATGCTTCCTCTCTTTGATATTCTCTGTCTAGCCAATTTTAAAGCCTCTCTAATCTCCTTGCCCTCAGGTTCCTCAGTTAGCTTCCTTAGCATTATGATCAAGCCTCCCCCCATCTACCCTCTGCCTTTCCAGAAGTGTCTATTATGCATGCCCCCCAGGATCACACGATATCTCTCTGACCCCCTTCACTTCATCTGCTACATTTGACTAACAATCAGTCCTTAAACATACCTTTCATTTTCTGCCTTTTGCTCCAACTGTGTCTTCCTTAAAGACCCTTTAACCCAATCACATTAGCCAAGGCTCAGTTAACATGCCATGTTCTCCCTGAAGGCTCAGAGACCTTAGCAAGGTAGAAGTTGTCTCCTTTTCCCCTTAAGTTTTGTGGACATCTCTACTGTAGCTCTTGATCACATTTGCCCTGAGTTCCACTGTTGTTTCCTTCACCAGGGCATCAGCTACTCAAGATACAAGACCATCTCTTATTCTCTTTTGTAGCCCCCACAGTGTCTGGCCCAATACCTCAGACACAGTAGATACTCAAGACATTATTGTTTCATTAGATTCAATTAAATGAGCTTGACTCTTTAGCCTCTATTGTAACATACTTGGGGTCAATGCAATCCAGAAAAATAATTCTCCTTCTAATGGGCTTCCCTGGGTATCTTACTCAGAAAGGAATTTAATAACAGAAATTATTCTCTCCCCAGCATAGTCTGAGTAATCACCTCTCTGCTACTGTATAGTTCCCTATACTTCTCATTTTATATCATTAATCACTGTTCAATTATTTGGTCAGTATCTATTCCCCCACCTCATACTTTGATATCATTCTTTGAAAGCAGATACTGATTGTTGTTTTTCTCCACTGTATGTCTGACATCAATTTCAGGTTTTCTGAAAGCACTCACAAATATTTATTCCTTGAATGGAGTTCAATAATTAAGGTCTATTGAGAAGAGCCACACAGAGGTTTAAGTCCATTATATAGCATTGCAAATTTCGTTGATAAGAAACAGACTCAGAAGTCTAGATGCAACTGAACAACAGAGACTGATAAAACACCTTAAAATATAGTCTGCCTTAATCAACACAATCTTGGACTTTTCCTCTCTCCATTCTCTTTTACCCTCTTTCTTAACTTCCCCAGCCTTTCATTCTTTCTTTTTCTGCTTTGTTCATACATGGGGATGGGCTGACAATTGTTTCGTTTCAGTCTCATCTTATGACATGTGAACAGAGTTTTTAGCTTGTCATATGGCTGCATAGGTAAAGCTGGCACTTCTTAACCCCCTTGGTGTAGTTATGTGACTGAGTTCTGGTCAGTGGTATGCAAATAGAATGATGTATGCAACTTTGCGGTCATACCTTGAGGGAAAGAAGTATGCTCTCCCTTTCCACTTATCCCCTTCCCAACAGTTGAAATACAGGTGTGATGGCTGGAGCTAGAGTAGTCCTGTCGGCCCACAAGGTGGAAGCTGCATGTTAGGGTAGAACAAGAAGATGAAAGTAGCCTGGATCCCTAATCCCATGTAACCACCAAACCCACTTTGGCTATTTCCACCCACATTGTTAAGAAAGTGAGCTAGAGAAATGCCTATTTTATTTAAGCTGTTGCTACCTTTGTCTCTCAAATGACATCAATATTTACATCTTTAATAATACAATGCATGGACGGGTGCAGCCACTCTGGAAAACAGTATGGAGATTCCTCAAAAAAGAACTACCCTATAATCAGCAATTGCACCACTAGGTATTTATCCAAAGGATACAAATATGCTGATTTGAAGGGGCAGGCACATGCACTCCAATGTTATAGCAGCACTACTGACAATAGCCAATGTATGTAAAGAGCCCAAATGCCTATCGACTGATGAATGGATAAAGAAGATGTGGTGTATATATACAATGGAATATTACTCGGTGATCAAAAAGAATGTAATCTTGTCATTTGCAACAATGCAGATGGAACTAGAGTGTATTATGCTAAACAAAATAAGTCAGTCAAAGAGACAAATATCATATGATTTCACTTATATGTGGAATTTAAGAAACAAAATAGATGAGCATACGGGAAGGGAAGAAAAAATAAGATACAGAGAGGAGACAAACCATAAAAGACCTTTATTTTTTTATTTTATTTTTTTTTAATTTTTTTTTCAATGTTTATTTATTTTTGGGACAGAGAGAGACAGAGCATGAACAGGGGAGGGGCAGAGAGAGAGGAAGACACAGAATCGGAAACAGGCTCCAGGCTCTGAGCCATCAGCCCAGAGCCCGACGCGGGGCTCGAACTCATGGACCGCGAGATCGTGACCTGGCTGAAGTCGGACGCTTAACCGACTGCGCCACCCAGGCGCCCCAACCATAAAAGACCTTTAAATACAGAGAACAAACTGAGGGTTGCTGGTGGGGTGTTGGGTGGGAGGATGGGCTAAACAGGTGATGAGCATTAAAGAGGGCACTTGTTGGGGTGAACACTGGGTGTTACATGCAAGTGAGGAATCATTAAATTCTATTCCTGAAATCATTAATACACTATATGTTAACTAACTTGGATTTAAATTTTTAAAAAATTACAAAAAAATAATAAAATAAAGTCCATGAGAAAAAAAAATACAATGCATGGCCATTTTTATGGCCATTTTTCCCAACATAAAAAAAAAGGATGAAGGTACTTTTTGAAAAATCCTACACCCATAGACCAAAGTTCTTGGTTATTTACCATGTGACAATACTTCTTTCATCTGGAGTTTATCTCAGGAAGAGAATGGCACAAGCTGGAGATATAAGATATCTCATTCTTTAAAGAAATGTATATTACCACAGGGAATTAATGCAAGCATAAGACACCTTGCAGGAAGCAACATGTCCATCAGTAGATGAATGGATAAAGATCTGGTGCTAAACACACACACACACACACACACACACATGCACACACACAATGGATTATTCAACCATAAAAAAAGAATGATACCTTGCCACTTGTGACAACATGGATGGACCCAGAGGGTATTATGCTAGGTGAAATAAGTCAGACAAATACCACATGATTTCACTTGTATGTGGAATCTAGAAAGCAAGAGGAACAAACAAACAAACAAAAAGCAGAAACAGACCCATAAATACAGAGAATGAACTGATGGTTGCCAGAGGGGAGGAGGGTTGGGGGATAGGCAAAATGGATAAAGGGGAGTGGAGAGTACAGGCTTGCAGTTATGGAACGAATAAGTCACAGAAATGAAAGGTGCAGCATAGGGAATATAGTCAGTGGTACTGAAATAGAGTTGTACGGTGACAGACAGTAGCTACACTTGTGGTGAGCATAGCATAATGTAGAGACTTGTTGAATCACTGTATTATACACATGAAACTAATGTAACATTGTGTGTCAACTATACTTCAGTAAAAAAATAAATTAAAATGTTGATAGCTTTAAAAAAAGACATTTTGCAAAATTTTTATAACTTGCTCTATGTCTTGAAAACTTACGGATGCTTGCTACCTTGTGATATTTCTATTAAAAAATAAAGTTGACCTTTCAGTATCTAAATAAGAAAGGAAAAGTTGTAATTGAATATCTACGGAGAATCATTTTGGTTATAAGTAAAGAGTTAGGAGTCTGTCCCCTTGGACTTTCGGGGCCAAAGAAAAAAATCCAGCCATAACATTACTGATTACTACTTAATGTTACCTTGAGTGGATAGCAAAAAGGGTACTATTGAAAAAGTCTTTTGAATTATGTTTGTCTCTCAGGGTTCTGAATCTTTCATTTACTTCCCCCAACACAAAAAGAACTAAATACTTAATTTGTGGCTTAGCAAAGCAAGGGAAATTATTGGCTAGGAATCCCCCTAAAACACTTAGGGTGAGTACTGAGACAGTATGCATTTCATTAATCTAGTTGCTGAGAACTTTGATTGCTTACTGATATTTATGTAACTTTTCAAACTTATTAGTGATAACTTCATATTTTTTATGTAAAAGAAACAGTAGACTCAGCATTCTTAGATTTAACCTCATGGTTTCTATCCACAAAAAACTTGGAATGTGTATAGTATGACACAATCTTACACTTTGCTACATTTCATAGAGGAAACCATATCCTAGAATGATCCATTCGGCAGGTTCTCAATGGTCTGGGAATGTCAGGGTCTCACATTCAGATTTATGACTATCCTCTCTCTTCAGCAGGAAGCTTGCCTGGTTCAACAGACTTTGCTCATCAGAAATCTAGGTCGGGGTGGGGGTAGGGGGTTAGGGGGAGGGGCTTCCTTCTGTAGATACTAGAGTTTACGTGCCTGAAAGACCAAGAGAAGTGATCATTTCCTTTCAAAACCTTTTTGTTAGTCCTTAATAATAGAGAGAAGCAACTTTTAGTTACTGATCTCTTTTCTTTACAAATAATTCTCTTGCTAAAGGAACAGACAAAATATTGCTAGTAGATATGCAGTTTGGAAGAAAGACTATCAATCATGAGATCTCAAATGAGTGAGGCCCTTTACAATGGCTTCCTGGATTAGAAAGTGTATTCATTGCTCTATTCAAACCTAGCACAGGGTCAGGTACACCGGAGGTGCTCAACAAATATTTGTTCAATGAATAAATAAATAGATTCTATGGACAATTCAAGGAAGCATAAGAAATATTTCCTGCCCTTAGTGAGTTTACCAGTCATACACGTACAATACATAAGTAAAAAGAACCCAATTTTCTAAGAAGCAAAGGATTAGTACTGATCGTAAGTACTGTAGCTTTTCTGGAATTTAGTTCTCTAAGGCTTAGACAAAAAAGTCGAAGGTAAGATGAGCCTTCAGAGGAAGGGAAGAAAAGAGGAAGGAATTCCAAAGAGAAAGGTAGGCATTACTACGTAAGGTAGAGCCGAGCACACTGGGCAGATATTATGGCAGAGCACGATTGTGGTTGAGGATGAGGTTAGAAAAAGAAGCAGGGGCTTTGTGTGGAAGACCTGAGCCAGCCAGCTGGGAGCTCTGATTTTCCTTTGGGTCACAGAGGCCATTGTGGTTTGCTCCAGTGGAGGAGAGAGCCAGGAGAGGGCAGGAAGACCAGTTGGGAGGCAACTGCTCTCACGTCCGCATGTCCAGATAAGAGTCTAAATTAGGGCAGTGGCAAAGGTGATGCAGAAAGGAATTGCATCAGGAAGCACGGTGAACCACCCCTGTGGGATCTGTGAGATAAACCTGCAACGCTTTTTGCTGGAATCACAGGAATCAAGTCAGTTAATTGTGAACTGCTCTGACATAAGGTGCACTAGAATAAATTCTAAGGTAGAAAACACTTTTTTCTATATAGTTCTATTAGCTTTGCCTAAAATCTTTTTCAGAAATATTCAAGTTCATTTCTTTTTAAAAATACACAAGAGTTTTCAGAAACAAGTAAAAATTACCCCAAATCCTACTCCCATTCACCAAGATTACTGTTATTATTTTGGTGGATACCTTTCCACACATTCTTGTATGCACAGATATGTACAAAGTATGATAGAATTTTATTAAAACACAATTGTTCCATATGTGCTGTTCCAGGATCAATTTTTCTCATTCCCTAATATGTTGTAAACATTTTTCCATGTTAATAAATATTGACCTACATATCATAATGTAAATTAATTTGCCTATATCATAATGTTCTATTAATGGATACTAAGATTCCCTCTCTCTCTCTCTCTCTCCCTATCCTTGTGTTACCATAAACAACCCTGTGATTAACCTTATTATGCACATCATTTACCATCTGTATAATTATCTCTTTAATAAAAATCTAAGAAGTTGAATTGGCTAGGTCAAAAATATGTATTGTGTTTTGATACATATTTCCAAACTGCCCTTCAGAAAAGTACATCCATTCATTTATTTACTCAATAATATTTCTTGAGCACCTACTATGTACCAAGCACTATTCTATGTGCTGAGAATACAACAGTGAAAAAAATGGACAACGTCCCTGCCATCATGGACCGTACATTCTAATTCAGGACAACAAACAATAAACAAACAACTAAACATATCATACATTGTCAAGGAGTGGTAACTACTAGGAAAGCAAAATAAAAAGCAGAGGGCTGGAGAGTCACAGAGTGGGTGGAGGGAATAACGCATTTGACACAGAGTGGTGAGGAAGCAACTGTGAGGACGAGGCATGCAATGGGACCTGTAAAGACAACCAAGCGTTAACAGTGGCAAGAAAGAAGGAAAAGGAAGTGCAAAAAATCTGATGCGGAAACATGCCCGGCATGTTTCAAGGCCAGAAAGGCAGTGTCTCTGGAGACTTGTGAGAAATGCATGTGGATAGGTAGCCAGATCAGACCAGAGAGCACTGGGAGCAAGTGTGTCCAGGAGGGGCTTCACAGCCATTCCTAGAGGTGTTTGGACTCATTGGGATATTGGCCAAAGGGATCTGATATTCTAGTATGAGAATATTAAAAGAGAAAGGAGAAAGAACCAATCTACTTTTGTGTT